ACTAGGTGCGTTCCAATTGGTCTTCCTACCAATATGACCGAGTTGCGAAAACAAGGTCAAACAACTTCTAAAAATTACTTATGCTTAATTAATAGATCCAAGAATAGAGAGGGAGCTAAGCCGCCCACAAAAAGGAGGTGGCGCAACTAGTTTTTTCTTGCCTTGGTTCTAATCATAATCACTTCTCTGTACTTTTAGTTCACTCATTCTCTCGCATTAAGACAAAAAACCAAAAAATAGGCTATTTAACAAAACTAGACGTCTGTCCGACCTTGCACAATCGGAATGATGGTTGTAACATGTATCTATAAAGAGGAAGATAGTGAGCATCAAACCTTGATGGCCAATAACAGACGTTACTTTTGCTATCCTAATTAAGCTATCGATGCGGGTTTCGTGTATAAGCGAACACAAACAGGCACATACGCATACAGAGACTGACACACACACTCCCATGCTTTGAGGTTGACATATGACCGTAACTTACCCAATCCCTTAATACCTTATCAGAGGCCAGATATAGACTATATATACTGCTTTTGAGGGATTTGCCGGTGAGTTTTCTTGAGTCGTTAGCTTAAATTTGATTGTGACGATGATGCCTTGCTCTGATGATGTTCATCATATGACGTACGAAAGCTTAGCACCTTTTCAGTGGAATCGAAGAAGATTATCTCGGAAACAGTTTCATCATCAATGTTCCAATAAAGCCAATCGACAGCTGGTCAAAAGAAATCCGCCGTCGTCTTCTAGTGGAATCGACCTTCGAATCACTTCACCAAACACTCTCACTCAAAATGGAAGTAAGCTCAACAAATACAGTACTTCATTCAAACGACCGGTTAGTGATTATGGTAATAGAATCAGTTTCATTGTATATGATTTATTTTCTCGCCAAAATACAAAAAAAAGAATTTATTTTTGACAAATTCAAAATTGTCTCGACTAATTTGCGATATTGCGAATTTCGAGAAAAAAACTCGTAGATCCTGTGTACTCTCAAAACCCGTAGAGTTCAGACAGGATAAACATGGCAGATATGCAAATAATTGCTCATATCGCAAAGCATATTCTAGTGCTAAGTAATCAAGATCGATGTCATTATTTAATCAAGACAGAAAAAATATGGCTTAAAATCTGGACGTCGCTCATCTATAATAGCTTATTTTGTGCCAAATCCTTAACACTTTTTACCTCTACAAAGTAGATTTGTTTTGATTTTGTATGACCTCAGTAATGGCGACAGGGACACCTTGGGAGACATGCTCGCTCCGGCTTCCTCTGGCGTAGTGATTAACGTGTCGAGACTATACGCCTCACAACCCGAGTTAGGGCTTCATTGGAGGTGCTGATAAAACCAGGGTGAGGTCCACCCTGGATGAGAATACATTTTGGAATCAATTCAATGGAAGCATGAGACTTACTCATATCGTGGGGAAATTCAACTACCAGCCCTTCATCGCCTTACACGAAATAGGATAGACACACACCATACATATGATCTCCTGTTAGTCCCTAAACCTACAAGGGAGAGTAAACTAGTATTAGGTAATTTATGGTGTTTTTTAGTTATCCATAATTATTGATAAATAATTAGGAAAATTGATAGGAACTGTATAGGAATAAGAAGGTAGCCTTGAGGCGAATCAGATACAAATGTCCGTTGAATGTTGTAGAACTTCAAAAAGATTATGTAAATTCGGAGCTAATTGGGTTCCAATTGCAATAGTAGTGAATGTTGTGATAAATTAAAAAAAAAAGATTAACTAAGCACATTCTTTGGAGTTGCGCTTGTACCGAAATCTGCTTAATCGATGAAAGAAGTTCATGTTAGACGCTAAAAGATAGGCTAGCACACTAAATTGGGCCTTTCAATGAAGAATCCTCCCTAAGGATGTAAACATTAAAAATAGCAAACATTTAATCATGTTTCACCAGAAAAGAATGCCAGGCAGGACTAACATGGGTAGCAAACAAAATTATATAGGTCTAAGAATGTCCTTAACTAAATCTTTGGTGATCTAATTCTTATGTGAAAACGAGGTTGAGACCAGACACCATTATCCAAAATTTAACTAAACACCATCTAGGTTCAAACAGTAGACGGAATAGGCGATGTCTACAAACATTTATGAAATAAATGCTATTAATAAAGTTGAATATTTATAGTATTAGAAAGGAAATTACGGTACTCTTCACATGCCTATCGACTTAAAAATGTATGGAAGAACAGGATTTTCCAGGAGTATATTATATATCTGTAAGAAGAACTATATTTAGTAAACGAAAAAAAACCAATAGCCGAGGCAAGGAAGGCCAAAGAATCTACAGAAACAGGTACACGGAAAATAAACTGGTAATGAGACCATATAAGGTGAAAATACAAGGAATCTAAAGCAATCGGAATACTCGTAAAAAGAATGAATTAGTAGACATTGCTTATGGCTTAGCAATCTAGGAGCAAATCAGAAACAGACAAGATATGCAAAATGTAGATAATCAAGCTATACTTGTTTTTTTGAGGTCCTATCAGCTTATGAAAAAGTAAGTGAACCAGTGAGAAAATAGAACATGATAATGCTGTTTGAAAAACAAAAACTCTCATTAGGTATGCTTTTCTTAAGAATTTCCAGACCCTCATTCTAGATCAAAGTGCTGGTGTAGTAATGCTTTAAGGGAGGGAGACCCGCCGACCCATTCAGAAAAGTTAATAAGGTCATGAAAGCAATTTTAAAGTTCACTATCGAATTAGAGGAATTCGCTGAACTAGCTAATACAGGACATGCCAGCGATTTGCGTTTTGCAGGTTATTACGACTACAGATCAAAACATAAGATTATAAAGGTATGAAGACCAAGATGCTGTGACCTTTTGCGGAGTCGTAGTCTCCTTTCGTTGTATATAAGCCTTTTGACCCTGTTTTTGCAACTTGGTCATATTGGTAGGAAGACTTAGAGGAAGGCACTTTGTCCGGAGTCCATTGTATGCATGATCATTTCCAGAGTAGGATCGTGGACGTGGTACATTCCCAGACGTTTCGTCGGCATCGTCAGTAAGTCTCGCCATTTGTAGCACCATAGTACAGCTCGTCAAAAAGACAAGTCCATCCTTTGACCAAACATGTGATAGGGGAGATACCACAAATGTTTAGCACACGTTTGGTCAAAGGATGGGCTTCACTTCTAACTTTGACGAACTGTACTATGGTGCTACGAATGGCGAGACTCACTGACGATGCAGACTACGATGCGGGCGAAACGTCTGGGAATGCACCACGTCCACGATCCTACTCTGGAAATGATCATACATACAATGGACTCTGGACTAGGTGCGTTCCTCTAAGTCTTTCTACCAATATGACCAAGTTGCGAAAACAAGGTCAAACAACTTCTATACGATTAAAAAATTGTTAAAAATTATCAAAAAAAATATCTGAATAAGAGAAACATGCGTATTAAATGGAATGCTACTATGAATAGCTATCGGATATGAAAAAAATAATACCATATAACTAAATGTGCATCAGCATTATAAAATCGTACGCTGGTTTATTTATGTGAGGAAATAGTTTCCGTTGCTTTAACTTGCTTTTCATGAATTAACTTTAACCATCCGAAAGCATGTAGAGTTAAATTTAAGTCGCCAAACAAATCAAGGGATGCATTTTTAAGATGGCAAAATTGAGTGCGTAGGTTTATAGCCGACCACCTAATCTATTTTATATTATTTTAGAGTACTTTTGCGTAAAGTATGGTTTCTCGTTATGGCATGTCGGGCACATGACAGAAGAAATCTTAGCACGAGATCATCAGGGCTTCAGGAAGATGATAAAGAGACGCAACCCGACAGTCTTCACTCCAAGGCAATCATCCTTACGTTCACGTTAGCCCCAACTCACGAGTTCCTTCAAGCCACATTTCCTCAAAAATGAATACGTTAGCTAATAATACACCTCCGTAAACCAGAATTTCATCGAATATGTTTCTCATGACCAGATTTCTCATATTATCTCATATTATTCTCATAAATATAAAGACTGAGATTCTTCGAAACCAAAATTTTCTTCATAGTCACCTTCTTAGAGCTTAAATGAGTCACATTAGAGCCGTAAACGAGAATCGAATACAAATCTTTAGGTCTTATTCTCAACATGTTACTACTACAGCAGGTACCAATGCGTCTCACAAGACAGAAGTGACAAAATGGCTAGTCAGAGCTCTCACGCGTAATACTTTATAGTGAAATTTTCTATGAATAAAAATTTTATATGCCATTACAATCGACTATACTACTTTTATTCATGCTGAGAAGGCTTTGGTACTATCGGATCTTGAATAATGGTAAAGTTTTACTGTCAAAGTTTTACTGCCCTTTGTCCTCTTATGCAGCCAACTGAGTAAGGTTCTTAATAAAGATATACTGATAGTACGGAACTCAACAAGAATAAAACTTAGCATGGATTAAAAAAATATGGTTAATAATATTTTAAAAATAGTTTGAGAGGAGACCAATAGATGAAGCAATAAAAAGTGATAAATAAAGTAATTTATGGCCGAAGTGGGACCACTTTATCTATCTCGCTCAAACACACCTTCAAATCCGGTCGCTTCTCCTTCTCCTCTTCTCTCAATTTGTTGACACGACGTTCGATCGCACCGCAAATATTGGTTGTGCGTGGAAAGTGTGGCAAGATTCGAGTAAGCACGATCAGGGCGTTACGGATTTGTGTGTATGAGCCTGATTCGAGACAGGATACTGCAGCTCGTGCGATTCTAGTATTCCACTTATGAACAACAAAGCGATAATTGTCAAATGATAGCTGTGATTCCTGGGTGTTGTCATCCTGCGCCTAGGAAACAAAAGCAAAAGATGTCGTTTGTGCTGAAGAAACATAAACAATGGTAATCACTAGAATAAAAGCATTAACTCAGAACTAGCACATTTCAAACCAATAGAGATGGTGATCAAGAATTAGGTAAGTAACAAAGTTGATCAGAGTTGGGGAGTGCAGAAATAAGGCCAGCTAGGAGACTACAGACGATATAAAAAAAATTAATATTGAACGAATAGTTTGGAAGTTAAACGTGAAAAAAACAATCTTAAATAGTATAAACAAATTCAATTTTACAAGTACCCAAAAAATGATTATGATCTCAAAAAGACAAGAAGATATGGACCAACTATCCATATAGATATATAAAAAAACGATGTTTAACCACATTACTACCCTATTTATGAGTA